CACAGTACACACAGAAACAGCGCACACGAGACAGATGGAGGGGGGGAGGCGCATCACACACACACACACACTCCAACACACGCATGTGACAGAGGGTGGGACCATAACACACATACACAGTACAAATACATAGTACACACACACATATGACGGGGAGGGGGAGGGGGGGGCATTACACAGATACACAGTTCACACCACATGTTATTGGGAATGATTACGCACAAACACAGTACACACACAAACATAAAAGGGGACTATTACACACATGCACAATACAAACACACATTATAAAGGGGACTATGACACACATACCCAGTACACACACAGACACACACACACATATATAAAGGGGACCATCCCACACATCCCACTCACTCTCCATGGCCAGCTCCGCCTTGATCTCAAACTTGCCAAATCTGTCGGTGACGTCCACGCGGTTCTCCTTCCTCACCGTCTCTGGCACCGGGACTGGCAACTGGGGGGCTGCAGGGGGTGGAAAGAAAACTTTACTGATCCACGGGGGTAATTTTGGGTGGCTTAGTTTAGTTTTAGTCAGAGTTTTACAGCGCTTGCAACACAGTGAGGTCATATAAGTGCCGAAGATTAGATGTTACAAGAGAGTAACAAACACAAAAAAGGAGGAGAGAACAGGACGATAGACGTTAGATAGGAAAGAAGGAGAAAACATAACCTGAGCACCCGCCAACCACCCACTTGCTGATGTCTGTCACAGATCAGGCACTTAATGATAATTACAGAACATCAACATAAAAAAAATCCAGCATTGGCACAGAGATGCACAAATCCATTAAAGTCATAGTTTAATGATACTCACATCCCAAGACATACTCGATATATCAGAATAAAACAAAACAAAGGAGAAAAAAAGTAACTCGAAAGTTCCTAAAACAATCGGTTTAGTTCCAGTAAGAGATTTATGGCACTTGCAACACACATAGGTCATATAACTGCAAAAGAATAAAGGAGTTACCAAAGAGTAACATACAAAGAAAAGAAGGCAAGGAGACATAAGGACAATAGATATAGTTTGATACGAAAGAAAGCAAACCAAAATTACACTTATTCAATAGGTCGCTTTTAAGCACAAGGGGTCTATCTCGAAAAATGCTGTTTTGAGAAAATCTACTGTAAAAGTTTTGCCCCTTGTTCAGTTTCTTTAAACGATAAGGAGAGTTTTCTCAATATCCAAACAAATATTCACACCAATGAAACCAAACTTCTCCTATACGTAGGACAATGCCCACTTTTGGTGTAGGTCAAGATTTCAGGAAAACCCCAAAATCTAGGTTAGCCCTCTTGTCCTTAAAAGCGTACACATAGTAGAATGGCTCACCATTGAATGTACCAAATCAAAATTACGGATTTCCTTACATTTACAGAAAATTTCCATCCCTGAGTACACGCAGCCACCCACAAGCATTGGGTAAACAAAGGTGGGGAAAAAAAGGTCCCTAACAAAAAAACAAAACAAATAAGTACACAGGAAATTACCTGGAGGATTTTCCTCCACGCTGCCGGCCTGCGAGAGGGGCGTGTCCCGGCCGCTGATTGACGGCGAGCCCCGCCCACTGACGTTGGCCGACATCATGTCCGAGAAGTTGTCCGTCTCCAGCTCGTTCTCGTCCTCCACCGAGTGGCTCGACGCCGCCTCCGAGATCACTTCCTGGTAGTCGCTGGCGTTCCCTGTGGCCACGGCAGGCAGAGAGAGAGGAGAATTAGTTTAGCTTTAGTTAAAGTTTTACGGCACTAGCAACACAATAAGGTCATATAAGTTTCCAAGACTAAAGGTGTTACGAGTAATGAACACATAAAAGGAGGACTGATAAAGACAATAGACGTTTGAGGAATGAAGAAGCAAACCACACCAGAGCACCTAGCCACACACACCCACACACACACATACACACACACACACAGACACACACACACAGACACTTACACACAAACTTACCGATGGACTCCTGGTCATGTGACAGAGAACCTAGTCACCCCCCCCCCCCCCACACACACACACACCCACACACACACACACTGACGATGGACTCCTGGTCATGTGATAGAGAGAACCTAGTCACCCCCTCCACACACACCCACCCACACACTGACGATGGACCCCTGGTCATGTGACAGAGAGAACCTAGTCACCCCCCCAACACACACACACACCCACCCACACACACACACACTGACGATGGACTCCTGGTCATGTGACAGAGAGAACCTAGTCACCCCCTACACACACACACACACACACACACATCAAACACTGACCGATGGACTCCTGGTCATGTGACAGAGAGAACCTGGTCCTCTTCTCCTGTATCTCCGGGTGAGCCCCGCCCGTTGTTGCTGCCGCTGTAGCTGCGGTGGCGGTGTTGCTGGGGGTGGGGGCGGGGTGGGTCGTCACTTTCTTGCTCTCGTTCTCGGACAGAGACGACAACACCTGCGACAAGATAAGATAAGATAATACTTCATTATCCCAGAGGGAATATCCGAGCAAAAGAAAAGGTCACCACAGAGTAAAGTAAAAAAACTGACGCAAGAAAATGTGCTGATGATAAAATCCGACAGAAGAAATGAATGGATAAAAGACGTCAACAGCAAGGGGGTGGAGAAAGTTTAGTTTTAGTAAGTGTTTCAAGGCACTTGCAACACAATAAGGTTATATAACTGCCTTAGATTAGAGGTGTTACAAGAGAGTAACAAATATAAAAAAGGAGGAGAGATAAGGACGATAGATGTTTGATAGGAAAGAAGAAGCGAACCACACCAGAGCACCTGCCAACCACCCACGCAAGAAAACGTGCTCAGGATAAAATCCAGCAGAATAAATGCATGGGTAAAAGATGACAACAGTAAGGGTGGGTGGGGGGGGGGGGGTGGAAGTGGAGAAATAGCAAGGAAGAACACATTGAGGAAAAAAACTGTAGATGCATTACACCTACTTTGACACAATATGCGGCTGGGAGCAGCTTGGCGGAGGTAAGGAGTTTAGCAATTTCACTCTTGGAGGACGTGCATTCTGGTCATTCAACAAATGTAAAAGACCCGCAGCTTTGAAGCGTTTAAAAAAAAGAAATATACCTTCGTTATTCAAACGGATTTCCAAATTCTATTTTTTTAATCTGCAACTTCTGTTTAACTAAGTGAGGTAAAAGTTTTACTGCATTCGAAAGGGCATCGGGTCATATGGGCGCACGAGACTTTAGTCTGTTATTTTCATGTTATTTCATAGCACGGCTTGATTTTATTTTGCAAAAGGGGAAACTTCTACGCAGCAATACACGTACAGTAAATCTGAGCAAATTCGTGTTTTCTGATTTGTGTGTAATGGATGGAAGTGTGCTGTAACATTGTCTTTGGTCTATGGCTGATCCGACTGCTGAGGCTGCAGCATGCTGTAAGAGTCAAGATCAAGAGGTAAACCAAGGAACAGGAACCAGCCACACAATAATAAATAAAAATAGCATTTGTATAGCATTGGAGAATATTGTAACAACTGGCAAGTTTGATGGAAAGAGAGGCAGAGGCAGATGGAGGGAAAAGATACTGGACAAGTTGACAACATGGGGGAGAACAGCAAGAACGACAGACACCATTGCTGCAACGCAAGACAGAGTGAAGTTGAGGTCCATGATCGTCCACGCCAGTCGGCAAGGCACCGGATGATGATGATTTGTACACAAAAAGCCCCATTCAACAGCAAGCTGTAAGTGCCTTACAATCTATTTGTGAGGCAGCGTGGTGGAATCAGGCTCTCGTCAATTTTTGGACATGTAGAGTAATTGGTATCTTCTTAAAGCTTGTTCACTCGTCTTTATTTGGATGACAAAAATATCCATTTATCTTGAATACAAGTCGAGATATTTGCAAAAGAAGGAGGTGGGGGTCTCCTGTTTTCAGAGGTAAAATAATTGACAAAATGGCCGCCAAAGACTAGTTATTTACTTAGCTTAAGAGTCCGTCGTAACTGAAAATTAACATTTTTTGTGCCTTTAATCAATGCTTTTGAGAAAAATCCACACAGAAATGAGTTCTTTAATAGGCATGAAAGGTGTTGAGTCAAAAAACAAAAATTTAGTAACAATTCAAAAACCTGCGGAAAAATGCAAGTTTCTTCACTTTGATTATTTTGACGAGAGCCTGATTCCACCACGTTGCCTCACATACTATTAACCCTGCAGACCTGATCGCATTTTGAAACAATCTCAACTTCCTGGGAAGCATACATAACACTGCACTTCCACCACATAGACAATGACAGCAGGCAAGGGTTCTGTTAAGACGTTTGTTTGAAATGTAAAAATGGGAATAAACTATGTTGTAAATGTTGCCATAACAATTCTTTGATATCACGATTATTTCCCCTTCTTGCTACGTCTCATATTGTCTCAATCGGAATACACACGAGATCTCATTGTATAACAAAAACAATGAATCAGTTTTTTGGCAGGTAGGCGAGCAAAGAGGCTGTGTTTTGTCTCTTTTACAGGTTTTAATCTTTTTATAATGTGAGGCACTATGCAGCCGTCACAGGTTCATACCTTCCTCTCGGTCAGCATACCCGGACAGTCCCCGGGAGGGTAGATGGACACAACAAGGACGTCCGCGGCCGGCCTCCCGTTAGCTTCGACCTCCGAGGACTCCACGAGAATCTCCTCCAGAGCAGGGGCGGCCGTCATTGAACGTTTCTTCCTCTGACCTGTGGAAAATATTAGGTTTGTTTTAATTAGGTTTTACAGTGCTCGCAACTTGTGGAAAATATTAGGTTTGTTTTAGTTAGGTTTTACGGCGCTCAAAACTGCATAAACCTCATATGAGCTCCAAGGGATAGATGTCAACAGAGAAGTCCTTGTAGGGAATCAGACTTACTCTACTCACCTCTCTAGCTTCAACAGCACAAAGTCTGCTTCGACTATCAAGGCACCCCAGTAATTGCAGGTCACAAGAGTGTGACAAACATACAAAAGAAGTAGAGGTAAAATGACCAGAGTAAGGATAAGTAAAGAAAAAGCAGCAGTTTCCTGCTGCAGTTCAAGCACAGTTATTAGCATGGCATTGATGAATCGGCCCATTTAAAATTATTACAATTCTACAATTTGAGAATGGCCTAAAGACACTTCAGTCCATAGCACCGCACCGGGGTTGGAAAATAGAGGATGTGTTACATTCGTCAATGAAAATAGATGTTATACCTCTACGTTAGTCACTGAAAATAGTAGATGTTATGTGCTAGTTATTAAAAATACTGTGAAATTTATACATATAGTCATTGAAAATACAGCGGACGTTATATGCATAGTCATTGAAAATGCAATGAAAGTATTATACAAATAGCCATTGAAAACACAGTGGACACTGTATATAAAACAGTCAATGACCACACAGTGGACATTATACTAACACATGTATAAAGTAGAATCTCCTGTAATGGCCACAACAATCATCTATACAAACAGCCAGTTCCCACATCCCACCTCGCATTTTTGGTTTCTATATTTTGATGACACCCTCCAAGCCGCCCACCTGTCTAAGACAACCACTTTTCTTCGCAACAACGGGTCGTTGCCTTGGACAATTTCTACTGTTTAGTGTTAGTAAGAGTTTTACAGCACTTGCAACACAAATAAGTCATTTGAGAGCGGAAATTTAGAGGTGCCACAAGAGAGTAATGTACGAATAGAAGGAGTAGAGATAAAGAAGTTATATATGTTTGCTAAAAGAAGCAAACCACATTAGAGCACCTGCCAACCACCCACACCAGAGAGAGAAAAGAAATAAGGAAGCTATAGATAAGATGTTTGTTAGATAGAAAAGAAGATGCAAATCACATCAGAACACCCGCCAACCACCCAAACCAGAGGGTAACGTACAAACGAAAACAACGAGGAGAAATAAGGAACTTATAAATGTTTTAGTTTGGTTTAGTTTTAGCAGACGTTTCACAACGCTCGCAACAGCATAAGGTCAAATGAGCGCCAGAAGATTAGAGGAGTTACAAGAGAGTAACAAACATAAAAAAGAAGAAGGGGAGAAAAGGAAGATAGACGTCACAGGAAAGAAGAAGCAAACCACACCAGAGCACCCACCAACCACCTACTTATAACTTATAAATGTTTGTTACAAAGAAAAGAAGGAGCAAAGCACCCGCCAACCACCCACCCACCCGACCGCAGCACCGAGGGGGTTTTGCGCACCAACCTTTGGTTTTGAACAGTGGCTTTTTCTCCTGGCTGGGCGTGCCGATCGGTGAGTCAACGGAGAACGGTGAGCCGCTCAGCGACCCTGAGGAGGGCGTGATGACCCCACTCCCGCCCGGCAGCGACAGATTGTCCGCGGCAGACGGGGGCATGTCGGCCGGCAGAGAGGACAGGAGCTGTTCCATCTGTCGCTTGCCTGGCGTCTTCTCGTCCAGGCGCCCGCTCGTGTTGCGCAGGAAGCCGATCTGCAGAGGAAATAAATTACCGTTACACGTGTGTCACGACGCGGTGGAATAAAAATAATAATAATAATAATAATAATAATAATAATAATAATAATAGATAGCATTTGTATAGCGCAAATCCCCGCTCAACAGCAAGCTGTATGTGCCTCACAATCTATACTATTACCCCAGCAGACCTGAGAGCATTCTGACACAACCTCAACTTCCTGGGAAGCATACAGTGCAAGCAGCTATTTATAGGCATTAAAACACTAACATACTGACAAGATCTTTCGCTGTCTAAGGCCGGGTACCCATTCCCACCTGCGTGAAGAGAAGAAAATTCGTGTAAAAATCCTTTCCCAAGGACACAACGTTGGGCCCGTAGCTCGAACCCCCGAACCTCACAATTACGAGTCCGGTAGCCAAACATATGTGTCACAACGCGGTGGAATCATCATCATCATTGCCTTTCTCACCCTGGATCAGGATATAGGCCACGAACAAACACTTTCCACCTTTCCCTATCCTGGGCTAGTCGTATGATGTCACTCCGCGTCTTCCCACTTTTCTTTCTGTACATCCATTTCCGTGGCTCTTCTCCACTCAGGCACTGGTCAATTTTTGGGCATTTCAAGTTATTGGTATAATCTTAGAGGCTATTGATTTGCCTCAATTTTGGTAAATTACTCAAGTATCTTGAAAACAAGTCGAATAATTTGCATTGAAAGGAGGTAGGGGTCACTCGGTAGCAGAGGTAAAATTAGCGAGAAAATGGCCGCCAAAGTTTGGATATTTCCAAAGCTTGAGAGATCTTGGAAGCAGCAAATTAAAATTTTTTATGCTTTCAACCAACATTTTTCAGGAAAAACTACATGGAAATGTGTTTTTAATTGGACATAAACTATGCAGAGCCAAAAACACAAAAATTTGATAAAAATTGCCAGACTGGCAGAAAAATGCTATGTTCTTCGATTGTATATTTTGACGAGCGACTGATTCCACCACGTTGCCTCATATATATAAAGTTGAATCTCCTGTAACGGCCACCTATCCACGCCAATCATCAGTACAAACAATTATTTCCTACATCCCACCTTGCAGCTAGAACTTTTCTTTTAATGCGGGAGTTTTTACACCCTTATCACACTGCACAGCCCTAAATGATATCAGAGCTACCCTTCTCCCTCCGAGACTTAACATTGACAACACACTCTATGGAACAGTACAGCAACTGCAGCAAACCTGCACTTACCACTACATGGCATTGGACAGAAGGGCGAGAGCTCAGCTGTTGCTGGATCGATAACAAAAACAACACCCTTATCAAAAACAATTGACAATTTAGATCATTTAGGAGGCAGCTTCCGACCCTCCCCATCATGGCCAGGCCGAGCTGAAAGGGACACAACACCCCAGCAGAAACACAGGGATACTCGATAAACCCCATAACCCCCCCCCCCTTCCCCCCAAGCTCTTTGGCAGGTTTGGTAGCTGTGCACAGATCATGGGGCAGGACCACTGGAAACTCTCAATTGCGCATGACTTAGGATTTTTTCAACTTTTTCAGCATCCAAAGTTCGCTTATCAGGACAGCTAGCAGTTTCAGTCATTTTGAGGCAGCTTTCAAATTAAGAGATTTATGTGGTTCCTACATTTTTGTTACAACAGATTTTGAATTTTTCATTAGTGTTACAGTAACATCCCATTCAAAGCTATTGTAGAGCAATTATAGTAAATAGCATTTGTATTGCACATATTCCCACTCGACAGCAAGCTCTATGCACTTTACACTATAATTACTATTACCCCAGCAGACCCTTTAACACTCAGAAACATTCTAGGCTTCCCGGGAAGCCTACAGTGCAAGCAGCTGATTAAGTGCTCAAACACTAACAAACTGACAAGAAAGGGCACCCATTCCCACCTGGGTTAAGTGAGGAAAATTCATGTAAAGTGCATTTCCTACGGACACAACATCAGGCCCCTGATTCGAACAAGAAACTTTACGGTTGCGAGATTAAAAGCCTAACCAATATTCTGATGGAGAATATCCAATAACAATGAGACTCTAGAGGTAACTGTTGAGAGTGCCACCTACCAGCTCACGGACATCCTCTGACGTCAACATGACAGCCGACCTAGAGGCACCCTGGGACGAGGAGGAGGAGGAGGAGAAGGAGGGGGAGGGGGACGGAGAGGAGGAGGAGGATGCTGAGCGAGTAATCTGCTCTGTCATGTCCTCCCAAGCACCCTCCAGGAAAAGGTCAAGGACGGACGCCATACAACCCTGAGGAGGAAAAAGTCAAGAGGTCAAGTACTGCGACCAGAGGTTAAACACGGAGGTCACATAACAACCCCAGGCGCAAGGAACAAGTGCAGACGTTGGAGAAAACAACAAGGTAGAAAAGAAGAGCAAACGACATCTTTAAGTTGTGAGGGTTACACTCATCACTTCGAACCTGAATGATGGAAGTTCAATTCAGAAAAGGAAATATTCTGTTGGCCTGTTCAGATTCAAATTCCAACCGTGCCCGTATGAATTTGAGCAGTTGAATGTGCCATAAAACTTTCTAAATGTTGAATAAAGCTAAAAAAAAAAATTTTTTTTAAAATAAAAAAATTATTTAGTTATAATTGTTTAGTTTAGTTTTAGTAAGTTTTACGGCATTTGCAACACAATAAGGTCATATAAATGCTGAAGATTAAAGGCTTTACAAGAGAGTAACATACACAAAAAAAAAAAAGAGCACAGATAAGGAAGATAGACGCTTGATAGGAAAGAAGGGGGAAACCACACCAGAGCACCCGCCAACCACCCACGTACAATTGTTGAAAGAATGAAACGTTTTTCTTGTTATCTCCTCAAAAATGTTACTTGCTGACAAAATATACAGTCTAAAACAAAGATGTTGCAGCTTGCAGTGTTATCATCAATAATTTTACTTTTATCCGCTTAATTATTTTTTAAAAATGTAATCATCATTTACATAACCTTTATCGGTATAATCATAATAACTGTGATCATCAATATTATTAGCATTACTTGTTTCAGTATAATAATAATAACTGTGATCATCAATATTATTAGCGTTACTTTTATCGGTATAATCATAATAATAGCTGTGATCATCATTAGCCTAACAATAATCATTATAAGCATAATAACGACTGTTGTGGATATTCTTAATTAAACAAAACAAAATTTCGATAAAATGGTAGTCAGCTGTGAGGTGACCTTGTCGAAGCGGCTGTATAGGTCGCGCGTCTTCACGTCGATGTCCTCCGGCTGGGAGATTGCTAGGATCTGGATGATCTGAGCCATCTGAAGAGCACATAGAGGTCTTTTTTTAGTAACAGTGTTACGGCACTTTCAACACAATCAGGTGAAATAAGTGCCAAAGATTAGTGAAGTTACAAGTGTGTAATATAGTAATTTTTAAAAATTGAGAGAGATTGTTGGGTTTTTAAAGTTTTTTCTTACAAATTTTATGTCACTTGTAACACAATCATGTCATTATAAGAGCCAAAGAACAGAGGTGTTACAAGAGAGTAACATGCAATGAAAAGAAGCTGGGGAGAGATAAGGATGATTAATGTCTCATACAAAAGAAGGAGCAAAACTAGACAAGAGCACCCACCAACCACTCTCCAGGTCAGATAACTATTGTCAAGACAGAGCTTCATTACATTTACACTAGAACAATCACCAACAAAAAACCCAAAAAAACCCAAAGGTCACTTGGTTGAATGACTTTTAGTTTTAGTAAGAGTTTTTCGTGCTCGCAACTGCATAAGGTCATATGAGCGCCAGAAGATTAGAGGTCTTGCAAGAGAGTAACTACAAACATAAAAAAGAAGAAGGGGAGATAAGGACGAAAGATGTTCGATAGGAAAAAAGAAGTAAACCACACCAGAGCACCCACCAACCACCCACTTGAATCACTTGGAGGTTTACTAACTGTAAATCATTTGCCTTAAACAATCTTTTTTAGTTTTAGTAAGAGTTTTACGGCACTTGCAACACAATAAGGTCATATAAGTGCCAAAGAATAGATTATGTGTTACAAGAGAGTAACATACACACAAAAGAAGGAGGGGAGATAAGGACGACAGATGTTTGATAGGAAAAAAGGAGAAAAATCACACCAGAGCACCGGCCAACCACCCACCAACCCTTTCCACCATACAGCAAAATAGATCATCAGTGTCATTCCACAAACAGCCAAAAAAAAACGTCAGAGGGTTTCCTGTGATAAAGCAGTTACTCAAACAAGGACACCAAAGGTCCACTTTCATTCAGCTCCGTTATTTCCTTCCTAGTTTTTAACCCTCTTAGTTTCTCTCTGCAGTGCCATCGGGGCGATTTAATCACCCCTAATTTGAGTTGCTATTTCAGTTTGTTTATCCTGTATTTTATTTCATCAAACATTTCAACTCCTTCACAAATGACCTCTTTTCCTTATTTACATTCAATTTAATGATACTGCATAGGTATATACGAACTTTACTTGCAGGGTTTGCCTGTACTGTTTTCAAATATTTCCTAACAGAATATCATCCGAGTGGCAATCAATTGTAAGCCTTGACCAAAGCATACTGCATTTTGGTGATGTTGAAAGATGCATCTTTGATAGAGCTTTGGGAGGGTGTGAAAAAAAAAAAGTTTAATTCTCAAAATTTGGACTTAACTGGATTGCTTGCAAAAGCGACAATGTGGTGAAATCATATTTAACTTCCCCCTACACCCCAGGTTATTTCATTAGCCACACTTGGAGGGTTAAGTGTCAAATAACAGGTGCCCAAGTCATGGATCTATTTCAGGCATTTTCCCCAACTACAGTTTTCTAAGAAATTAAAAAAGCTACTTGGACTCTTGTGGAATTACACAGACAAAATAACTTCCTTGTTTAAAAAAAACAACAGATTTCTTTTTTGATAAAATATCACAATGCTCCCAAAGCTGAGGGTTTGTTAGAGTGAAGAGAAGCACATCGACATGATAGCGGACATTTAGAGCTGGGATAAAAAGGAAGACCGACAGTCAGTCAGAAACAACAGAGGGAAGAGAAAAGAAGTAGCACCCACCATCTGCACCCTCCAACCACCCCCATCCCGAGGTTGTTACAGTCAGTATTCAGCTGCAAGAGCCATGAAACAACCGTTATCCCACTACTAGTTTTAGGAAGAGTTTCACGGCACTTGCAACACAATAAGGTAATACAAAAGCCAAAACATTAAAAGGTGTTGCAAGGGAGTAACAAACACAAAAAAGAAGGAGAGGAGAAAAATCATAAAGACGATTGATGTTTGATATCAAAGAAGAAGCAAACCACAGCAGAGCACCCGCCAACCACCCACTGAGTTACAAGACAGTAACAAACAAAGAAGAAAAAGAGGTGAGACAATGATGATAGGTGTTTAATAGGAAAAAAGGAGCAAATCACAATAGAACACCCATGATCAACCACCCACATGATCCACAAGAGCATGGGTCTTCCCATGGCACTCAAATGAGACTTCTCCGTCACCTCAGACCAATTTCACAGGCAAGTCGTGACAATGAAAAATAAACAGAGCAATTTAGAGCATGCATCGTAATACCAAGGATTTCAAAGACTTGTTTTATTAAACGTTTTACAGGACTAGCAGCACAATTCATACAGGTGCTAAAAAACACAGGTGTTACAAGAGAGTAATAAACAAATAAAAGGAGGCGAGATAACAACGATAGATGTTTGATAAGAAAGAAAAAGCAAACAACACCAGAGCACCCGCCAACCACCCACATAAATATATAGTAGTACCACCAATTCAGGAACAAAGATAGACTAACTTAGCACTACCAACAATCTCACCCACAGGAACAAACACAGAGAAAGTTCAAAGGTCAGGGGGTCGAAAAACAAAGGTCAGAGAGTGTCAACAAACAAATTAAAAAAAAAAAATTATAGTAGAGGTTTTACGGCACTCGTAACTGCATAAGGTCATATGAGCGCCAGAAGATTAGAGGCGTTACAAGAGAGTAACAAACATAAAAAAGAAGGGGAGATAAGGACCATAGATGTTTGATAGGAAAGAAGAAGCAAACCACACCAGAGCACCCGCCAACCAGCCACCAACAAATAAAGGTCAGAGGGTCGACAAACAAAGGTCAAAGGGTGACCCACCTGCATGAGATTGTGCCTGGCAATGTGACTGATGGGCACGTCCGAGGTGATGCCGTGCGGCTCGGGGTCACAGATGGCCGGACAGATGAACAGCGCAAACACCAGGTCCGCACAGCTGGCCCTCACTTCCTGCATGCCCACCTGGCCGCGTTCTGTCAGCACACGGTACACCTGCACACACACACACACACACACATGAGAACACACATAAAACACACACACACACACCTGAGCACACACATAACACACACACACACACATGCGCACACACACACACATGAAAATACACAGGACACAGACAAGAACTAACCTGAGAGAACACACACACACACAAACATACACACACATGCACATACACAAACATGCACACACAAAGAACACAGACAAGAACTGACATGACAGACGAGCACACACATAACACACACACACACACACACACACACATACATGCACACACAGGACACACACACACATACATGCACATACACACAGGAAACACACACACATACACACACATACATGTACACACACACACACACAGACCACACACACAGACACACACACATGCGCACACACACACACACACACACACACACGCACACAGAAACACACACACACACACAAACACACACACACAAACACACATTTTGTGAGTAAGATACACGCCCAATGTGTCAGGATCAGGTCAATAAACACACAAACATGCACACACACAGACACACACACACACACAAACATGTATACACACACACACACACACACATACACACACACACAAACACAAGACACAGACAAGAACTGACCTGGGAGACAAGCCAGCCCAGACTGGCGGGGAAGCAGTGGATGTTGGCCTTGATGCTCTTGATGAACCGCTCAGCCAGCAGCACCAGCTTGTCCACGATAAACGCCCGGTACTGACCCAGCTTCTCTTTGTTCTCCTCCGTCCCCGGCTCCCCGAACCGTCGCAACTTCTCGGCCGGCGGGAACCGAACCAGGGCCTTGTCCGGATCAATGTCAAAGAACCACTCGTCCTCCATGAGCAGCCTCATGATGGGGTCGTAGAGCGCGGCAGTCAGAAACAACCGAGCGGAGAACAAACTGTCGCACAGGTGCTTGTAGACCAGGGAGAAGGACATGTTCTGTCGGCGGATCAGGCGCCGCGGGTTGTCGCTGTTGGCCACCTGGATCTCCAGCAGGGACTTGAGCAGTCTCAGCACGCTCTGCTCGTCCTCCTGGAAGAGGCAGTTTCCGAAGACGGAGGTCACCGTCATGCTCACCATCTTCTTCACGTCCAGGCCGCCGTAGTTCTCCCCGGCGATGATGGTGGCCGACAGGAGGTTGGGGTTCTCGTACAGGTACTTGAGCAGCTCCCCGTACTTGCTGTCGTGGTAGCTGAACACTTTGTACGAGTCCACGAAGTTCGTCTCCTCCAGCTGGTTCGTCACGCTGTACGCCTGAGGGTCAAGGACAAACATTCAGGCCTGCTTGTTTCAAGATTCTTTTTAAAGTTTTAGTAGAGGTTTTACAGCGCTTGCAACTGCATAAGGTCATATGAGCACCAGAAAATTAGAGGTGTTACAAGAGAGTAACAAACATAAAAAAGAAGAAGGGGAAATGAGGACAATAAGATGTTTCATAGGAAAAAAGAAGCAAACCACACAAGAGCACCCACCAACCACCCACATCAAGATTCTGGGCTTTCACAACCTCCGTCATTTGTGGAAAGGGGAGGGGGAGAGAGAGGGGGAGGGGGAGGAGGGCACTATTCACAGCAGGGTAGCAAGCATGCACAAACACACAAACATTGAAAACAAACAAAAAGAAAACAACAACAAAAAAAACAGCTGTGACATGAATACATTTCATGTTTAAAATAAAAACGTTTTAGTATACTCACAAAAGTTCATGTGGAAATGTGAATAAAGCATTTATATCCCAAGTGACAATACTAACCACCACATATAAAACGTTTCGTTGTCTTCATAATTCATTTTTGGTGTATCTTGTGCCCATTCATCAACAACAAGAAACTAGTGAATTATATAAACTGCTTAGTCTGAGACTACAGCATTCCCCATTTTAAAAAGTGACGTTTGGCGCAGTCTTAAACTGAGCATTTGATATGTCAAGTGTTCATTAGTGAATTATACAGCACAGTCTGTAACATAAGCCTATTCCATGAAAAAGAAGGCTGTATCTTCATTCAGCAGCATATATATATATTTAATATAAGACTCTAAACACATTTACTGACATAGTTTCATTCACTTTTACTCCCAACTCATCATCTAAAAAAAATGAAGCAGTTCACCTCCGCTGGGTTGCCTGGGTGGTTCCCCTTGTCGATGAACTCCTGCATGTTGATCTTCTGCTGGCGAGCGATCCATGCGGTGTGGAAGACGCGCTCAGAGAGTAGCGACACATTGTGGTAGAGCCGCTGGAGGGACTCGCGCTCCGTGCTCACAAACAGATGCTCCTGCTGGAGCTGGTGGCTCAGCTCCCAGAGGTCAGAGGTCAGACTCATCTTGGCCCACCCTCCTCTCTCCTACGAGCTGTCCAGAGGAAACAAAAGGTCACGACTCACAATTTTAAAAATGCTGGCGCAATATGATGGCTTTTTTAATGCAATTAAAATCTCATAACTGTGCCACTCTAATCAAATAAATGTTTGTTTTTCAAAGCCTCCAGTCGAATCAATTATTTTCTTGTGCCAAATTTGTAACTTTGACCACTCCATTTTAAGGAACACTAACCAGCCTTCAACTCAATCAAAACAATCCAAGAGGCAGTGTGCATCGGGTTTTGCGTTATTTTCAGGCCTGGCGGTTACCGTAAATTCTCTTTCACCCTTCCTTTCCCGGGGTTCCGAGTGAGGTCATAAACACCAGCTTCCTCACAACATTAGACAATGCATGAGTCATGGGAAAATTAGAGAGGTAATTTCTTAAGAAGTACAGTAGTACTGATACTATGCAATGAAAAGATTTTAAATTATGATGAGATGGTTCACTCTTTTCTTTGAGAGACTACGAAAAAAGTCCTTAAAATCTCCTGTGGCATCATCGGGCTGTGAGGGTGGACTATACAAACAGGTGACTTAGAAGGAAGTATAGAAACAAGGTAACATAGTAATTACGCTTTTATTGTTGTTACATCGCAGTCTCATGCAATAAATGGTCGAGTTTTAATTTGGGCTTCAAAAAGAACAGTGACAACAAGTGAAACACTTGTGGGCCTAAAAAATTATACACATTAAATCTGGATAAAAGTTATTAACAGGATTAATTCCATTCAAGAGTAGTTTTATCACTCTAGATTTCCAGACTTTGTACATGATGTCAGGCAACAAACAGAAAATCAAGTCAAAGCTCCACAAGGTTTATTTATCGTAAACTTGTGAGCACAAAGTGTCTCCAGTCATGCAGTACACAAAAATTTATTCAGACTAATTGGTCGCTTTTGAGGTTAACTTTTTGCCCCGTTCAGTTTTCTTTAAAAGACAAGGCTTCATCAGGAGAGTTTTCTCTCGAAACAAATACACCAATGAAACCAAACTTCTCCTATAGGTAGGGCAACACCCACTTTTGGTGTAGGTCGCGATTTCTGGAAACCCTCAAAATCTGTGTTAGCCCACTTTTGTCATTAAAAGCAACCAATCAAAGTGAGACATGACGGGAACTATAGACATCGGTGGAAAATTCTGAACTGCTCCACAATACTGATTTTGCCAAACTTTGCCATGGGGGCGAGAGAAGGAGGAGGATTGTTTTTTACCGTTAAAATGAGCCTGAGAGGCCATGGTCATTATTGAGCCACAGCTGAGAGAGTTAAAAGCTGGCTGCAGAGTGCAAAATAATAGAACAATGCAATAAAACCATTTTTCAAACAGAAAAGTGAAAGAGCAGGTAAATTTTGTTTTAAAAATAAAAATTAAACTCTAAAACTGCAACAGTGGCCCCCACCTGGGGGTGCCCCTGACTTGGACGCTTTTTTAGCAGAGCGAACCATCTTGTTTTAAAACTTACTATAGGATCTGGTAGGCGTTCTTTTATAAATGGTAACAACAGGATGTTATTTTTTCAACACCAGCCTTGGAAATTATACCATACTTTCTTCAAAGGAAGTGAGAATAAAAATACAATCGACCTCTCACCCTGGGTGAGACTTGCTTGAGTCTGCTATTCTTACCCGGTGTGAAACAAGACTTGTTTTTTTTAATTTCTGAACGCTGTAAATTGGTGTGAATAATCAAATTGACAAAAAAGCAAAGACAAAAACGATGTTGATGGCACAAAAGTAAACTAATTTGGTCGTCTACAAAGATGCTAGGCAGCATTTATTTCATTCGAATCGTGCTGAACTACGCCGGTCGCCATTTTGTTTTGCGCGGAAGCTCTCACTAATCCTTAGTTCTGCTCTCTCTCCCTTCTTTCTCCCCACCCTCTCTCTCTCTCTCTCTCTTTCTCTCTCTCTCTCTCTCTCTCTCTCTCTCTCTCTGCCGGCAGACAAAATTGCACAACTTCAAAACAAGAGCGCTGGAACGTTTGTGTATCACGGTGAACATACACAGAGTGAGAATGGCCAAAAGGCTCCCCTTCTCACCAGGAGCGATCAGCCTGAGCTGATACTCTAAGCGATGAACCCACACCGGGAGAGAATAGCCAGAAGATTTGCCCTCTCACCGCCAACAACAGTGCTCTATTCTCTCACCCTGGGTGAGAATAGAGGTGGCCTTCAAAACTAAAAATAATTCATTTAAAAAGTTTATAGAGAAAGATGAGGAAAAATAAAAAGCCCTCCAAAACCTCCTTCTCGCTAAAAAAGCCAACTTTCTTCTCCCTCTCACTGTCAAAAGAAATGAAACTAATACCCCCAGCATCAGTGACCACTGGGGGATCAAAAAACCAATCACCAACAGATCGCCTGATTCACGGCCTGAAAACAAGTCCGCATTTGTTTTTGAGACTGTGAGCCAGGCAATCGGTGAGCCACAATGGTTAAGTTTGCGCCCTCAATCTGGCTAACCGCGCCTAACAAACCAAACTGAACCGAACCAATTATCGTGCCAATGAGCACATCCTCCTACTCGTCACTACAACTACAAGTGAAAGTATCACTCAAAGTCAAATGTGTCACTTGGGCTACGGGCAGCTTTCAGGGTCCCTTTACAATACAGTTCATTCATCGACAAACTGACAGCTTAAGCGACGGATGCTAGATCTGGGTCATCGTTAAACAGACAGTTTGTCGACGAGAGAAGTTCCATTAGACGTACAGTTTTTTCTTAGTAAAGTGTAGTCCTTGACAAAACACACAAAACACACCCCAAAAAATTAACTTGGTAATCCGGCATTAAATTGCGTTCCTCATGCGATTTTGACTAAGGTCACTGATCACGAAAACCTATCTTTATTTTCATCAATTTCGCCTGGGCAACATTCGTGGTCATTTCGCTGGCCGTCGTCGCCAGAGCTATGTGGTGATTGGACTGAGAACCCTATCAAGAGGATTGTTCGTTTCCACTCATAGTTTTACCGGGAAATTGACAGGATGCCGGCCATTCTTTCGAGATCCTACACAGTTTGTCGATCAATGAACTGTACAGTACGTGTAAATGGGGCCTTAGTCTGCCTTAAAACACGACGAGGCCAGAAATTCTCATGAAGTGTGGTTGCCATAGTTTGAGTTTGTCTCGAATGAAACCAAAAAAAATCCTTTTTCTGTCCAAGCTTGTATAGATCTATCACTTAGAACTACAAAAAAAAGCTAACGAACAATCACAATGAAATTTTTCACACAGAAAGGTAGCCTTCAAGATGAAAGAACAACATCTCGTCAATGAGTCAATGAACCATCGAAGTCGAAGGGTCTCAACGCTTCAGTGATGAGCATCGTACTGAATAGGGAGGAACAAGTTTTCCAAAAGCGTTACCAATACCATTCTGGCCATTCAATGTTCTATTCGACAAATGAAAAAGCAATCACCTGATGGTTTAGTGACAGTAAAATCATCTCGAAAGAACAGTGGATTCGAGATTCTAGACTGGAAAAAAGGGGGAGGGGCATTCAAGCCTTGCTCGAACGAAACACACGATGAAAAACATACCAGATGCTCTCATAACAGTTCTCCTTAGTTTCAACACATTTTACAGTTATAATGTATATTCCTACTCACCACTAGGATACTACAATCCAAATGAATACAAAGAAAAGTCAAAACGACTTGAAAATCACTGAGGATTTTTCTCTTGCCTCATCTTCGTAGGTCAGGTAATCGACACCATTCACAAACACAAATGCGCATGCGTGATTTGGGAGACCAAAACATCCGCCAAGAACTTGTAACTGGAAACTAGTTGGGCACAAAAGTATGCGATGGTAGGAAGATACTTCTATTTTATGGAGCGTTGGATATAATCTTACTCTACCTAAAAACAACAAGCAATAACATTTCCAAAGATTTTGTTAGGTTGATTATCATCACATCAGAAACTCCCTTTTGTCAAAAGCAAGGGAAGTAACTCTTCTATCTCCGCCTTTCATTGGCGTCGTATCATTTATCTTTCCTATTTTATTTTCATTTCACACGAGGAAAAAAAACCCCGCATGTACAAGCTACTGAACGCACTTGATGCCCCCATGTTTAAGTTCCGATGTCCATGAAAATAAATTCGTTTAAGCCATGGTTTTTATTGTTTGTTTCTTGTTTGCTTGTTGTTGTTGTTGTTGTTTTTGTTTTCGTTGGGGGTTTTGGGGTTGTTTTTTTTGGGGGGGTGTTGTTTTTTATAATATATTTATCCCACCCGCTGCACTGCTGAAGTTAAGAGACGTTCTTAATAATAATCTTTCGCCTGGAAAAAGAGGGGGGGGGGGGTCTTTGCTCATGTAAGAAAAGCGTAAGGAAAAGGGTGGGGGGGGGGTCTTGAACAAATAATTATAATACTACACTTTTTTAAGGTGATAAAGTAAAAAGGGAAACATTATGACAACATATTTTTTAATAACATTAAAAGAGCCGTAACAGGACCCAGTTTTGGCATAATGATGAACACTCGATCCCTTTGTTGATGATAACTTATTTCACTTTTTTGTTTTAACATAATGATCAGTAATAACAGATAGGACCTACATGTACAGTGGAATCCTGACAAAGTCAACTTGCTTAAAGTCAATTTTTGCTTACAGTCATCACCTCGCTGTTGTCCCGTTTCTAACCTTCTTTGTGTTTCTGATACAGTCAACCGCTTGAGTGTAAACCTTGCGTAAAGTCTACAATTTGGGGCTAACTCCTAAGATGAATTCATTTGAGAAGAAGAGGTATTTGCTAGTGGTGTACACCCCTCCAAATGCTTTGTTCGCTCATTATCTCTTGTTTCGGTGACAACTTCAGAATTATACTCACTGATATATTGAGCTAACATCTTGACACCAGGTACTTTGTAATTTTGTAGCTGTCGTCTTCAAGTTTCAATGGTCAGTAGTACAATGGAAAAAGTCAACCTCGCTCAAAGTAAACACTTTTTTTCGGTCCCGAGGTGTTGACTTTATCAGAATTCGACTGTAATTTGGTTTATTTGTAATTAAGGCGCTTTTAGCATTGACATGAGTCTCAATTTGTGTCCTTATTAGTAAGAAATAATGTATGCAATACATGAATTTTGCTTGAATAATTTACTCTGTCATTTTTTAGTGAATGTAAACTGCATATGTTATTAATATGTGCATGTTCATGTGTATGTATGGTTTTCATGAATATTGTGTAAAGCGCAATGATTTGCGCGATATAAATGTCATATTATTATTAGCCCTTTTATTATTTATTGTTTTTGTATTATTATTATTA